GATAACATGGCACTGGTTGGTAATTACCTTCCTGAAAGGATCACTGAAGATAAGAGTGCTATAGCAAAGTGTGGTGAGGAAGGCAGATGTTGCCTGGCTATCAATTGAAATAGTGTCTGGGGTCTTAAAGGCTTGTATTCAAACAAGCAGCCATCTAAGCGAGGGGCTGACTAAGTCCACACAGAAGAAGCATGCCAGCCTGTGTGATCCAAAGGTAATAATAACAAAATCCAAATATCATGAAGGGATAAGTATCAGAGCTTAAATTGTGAACACCCAAGTTTCAGAAGGCTACAGAGGACAGCAGAGCCCAAAATCCATCCGCAGAGTATCTATCAGATAAGCCTCTGGCAGATCCCTTCTTGCCACAGGCAAGGTGCTCAAGCAGCTTCACTATCAGACAGATTATTGTAAGTTTGCTTATGGTGGATTGAACCATGGTATAATAGGATACTTGGCCAGTTGACCTCTCTCTTAACCCAACCCGAATTTGCTCTAGGCTCAAATATTTCTCAATTGTTCCAAGACAGAAATGTCTTCTCTGGCTTGTTAAATATTATTGGTGGTCTTTTCTTTCTTACTCTTTATTCTTTTTTCTTTCTGCTTTCTGTTTCACTGTTTTGTTTTTTATTGTTACTGTTAGATCTCCCAGTTTTAGAAGCACAGAAGGAGTGGCTATATAGAGACAATAACTGATGCAGTGGTTTATTGGGAGCAAGGGAGGGGGTGGGGGAAAAGAGGGGGAGGGTGGAGAATTGGGGAGCAATCAATGAATGGGGGAGGGAACATTAAAACATTGTGATAGTGTATATACAACTCTTTTAAAAAGTGATTTAACTTTGGAAGTGTATGATATGTGACTATTATATTAAAAACTACTTTAAAAAAGAAAGGAAGAAAAAAACAAACAAAAGTGAAACATGTTTAGGGAGATTCCAGTCAAGTGATACCACATATTTAGTACAGAATTAATTTCGGAACTTCGTGCTTTTCGGGGTCAAAGGTAAATGTTGTAGGCATCTTCCAGCTCACTGTGTTCTTGAGTGCCTTTGAGTTGCTTCCAACTCACAGTAACACAGCGGAGGAAACACTGCCCACTCCTCCGACGCCATCCTCACGATCGTGAAGTTTGAGCCGACGGATGCAGTCACCGTGCCAATTCATCCTGTTTAGGATCTTCTTCTTTTTCGCCGCACCTCTGCTTTACCAAGCACCATGTCCTTCTTTGGGGACTGGTCCCTCCTGATGACATGCCCTAGGTAACTTCCAACAACGTCTTCTAAGGAGAATTCTGGCTGTACTTCTTCCATGGCACAGTTGTTTATTATTCGACCAGTCTGTGAGGAGCCCTGCTGACACTGGATTACACTCTGGGCTTCTAGCCTCCAGGTCAGCAGTTTGAAACTGCCAGCCACTCTTTGGAAGCAAGATGAGGCTTCTACTCCTGTAAAGATTTACAGTCTAGGAAACCCCCGGGGGCAGTTCTAAATGGACTCTGTGGCAGTGAGTTAGGTTTTTTGATTTTCTGTCAGTCCCTGGTATATTTGGTATTCTTTCCCAAAAAGCATTCATTCCATGGATATGCAGTGACTGAAAATACCATGGGTTTGGTCAAGTGCACCTCAGTCCGCAAAGTGGTCTCTTTGCTTTTCAACAATGTAAAGAGGTCTGGTGCTGCAGACTTGTCCTGTGCAGTGTGTTATTTGATTTGTTGATTGTTGCTTCCGTGAACCAATTGTGAAGCCAAGTCAAATGAAATCTTTGACACCTTTGTTCATTTGTGAGAATTTTTCCCAACTGCTAGATGATATCGAACTGGCAACCTTTGAGTTAGCAGTTGAGCACCTAACCATCATACCACCACCAGGACTTCATATGAACCCATATGTACACATAGGTAACTGCAATAAAAAGATACATAAGGTCTTGTGTAAAGGATGCAGATAGCTCTTGTGACATAACATCACAAATACCTAAAGCAGTAGATGTTCAGTGCTCAGCTGAAAGGAGCCATCGCCATGAGCCCTCTCTGCTTCTCTCACTCTCCAGAAACACCTGGGTCCTCCACAACCTTGTAGACAAAAGGCAGCTGTCGGTACCTCACATTTGAGGATCAGAGAGGGCCAGAGAAGTTAAGAGCAGACCTCAAGTCACACAGGAAATGTGGGGGCAGAGCTGACATACATTGTCAGCCTCCTTGTTCTGGGCATCAGTGTGCCAGGAGCAGCACATGTGGTCACCAGGCCCTTTGCTTGAACAAGTCCACGGGGCTCCTTCCAGGTAATGATGGAACACATTTTGTAGGTGGTGGAAACGGAGCAGTATGAACTGTTTGAAGCTTCCCAACAGAGAGGGAAGGCTTTCTGCTCCTGGCCAGAGCTCCTTAAAGTGTCTCCGGTGCTGTGGATGGAGCTCTGGACACATGGTGCTTAAAGCACTTGCTTTACTAGCTGAAAGGATGATGATTCTAACCACCAGCCACTGCGTGGGAGAGAGAAGTGGCGGTCCGTTTCTGCAGTCTTTGAAACCCTGCAGGGCCCTTCTCCTCTGTCAGAGTTTCTATGAGTTGGAATCAACTCAGTGGCAATGGGTTTTGGTTTCTGATCTCATGGGGACATCCGGAAGCGAGCAGGGCTGCTCTGTTGACTCACTCCATATCCCATTTTACAGTCTCCTTTTCCATCTTCTACCCTCCTTTCCCTCTCCACCTACCCCAACTTTAGCTTTTGAAGCAGGGATTACTTAATTTTGCATATCAGGTTGAAAAGTAGCAGTGAATGTGTTTGTGGGGAGATTAAAAGCCAAGCAAAAAAACAACCCCCAAACCCATGGCCATGGGGTCGATTCTGGCTCATAATGACTGTATAACGGGTTTATGGGGCTGCAGATCTTTACCAGAGTCTCCACTTTCTTCCACAGAGTGGCTGATGGGTTTGAACCTGACCCTGCCTGAAAGCCCTGCCTGAATTTTTACCCAAGAGCCCAAGTGCTAATATGACTCCCCTTTGACCAGAGCCTCCTGACTGTCCTGTTCACACAACCTGGTCAGTCAATACTGGCAAGACTAGCATCTGTGCCAACCTAGCCAACTCAGCCTCCCCCAGTGGTTCCACCATGATCTGGTCTGCTCTCGGGAAGAGTGACCGCTTCTGGGGGGGTATCACCGAGGGACTAGAGCAATCCCTAGGCTCCATCTCCCTGCAGCCCTCACCCCCCACACATACTATTTCATCAGTTCAAAGCCTCATTTCCAGAAGGTCCGGGTTGAATCCCAGCATCCTCAGTCATTTGCCACGAGTCTCTTTACCAACTTCCGAAGCTCTGGGGTGTGTGTCTGTGTGTGACCCAGCCATGCTAATGCACCTTCCAGCCACGCCCTCTACTCAGACACATGTGTGTGGATGGACGTTTCTATCTCACCTGACTCATTTGCGGGCGTAGGGGCAGGGGATGTGTTCACAGATTAAAGAGAGGCGCAAGAACTTCGATTTTGTGACTCCACACAAGAAAGAACCAAAGGAAGGAAGGTGACGCAGAAAGAGGTGACACTTTGGTTGGTGTGAAATCGGGGAGTCCAGGGACTGACTGGACACCTGGACTCCTGGGGGGTTGTCCTGAAGAAACAAAGATGTCGGCCAATTTTTCCAAGTGCTAGGGTAGTGGTGAAAAATGGCAAACACTTGTCAGGTAGTGAAGAATTAAATAAATTATTTATTCATCAGCCCAAAATGAAATGCTATTTACCCCTTAAAAAGGATGCTAAAAGTGTTGATTTATTAAAGCCACATAGTGCAATTCCATTTTTTAAAAAGATGGAAAAAAATAGGTACTTTACGTATATGCGGGAAATGTCTAGGAATAGATACCATAACATTAGCTGTCAATTATACTTAGGTGAAGAAAGGGGTGGTTCTTATTTCCATATTGATGAGCTTGTTCCCCCAAGGAGCCTGGCTGCCTGGGACAGCACCAGTGAAGAGGAGACATGTGTGCCGGGCGTTTAATAACAGTTGTCTCACAAAGTATTTGTCTTTTTTTCATACCCAAAGAAATAGAACTTTGGTGGTTACCAGGGGTGGGAGGGGAAGAAAGGGGAGGAAGCAATGGGCTAGACTAGAGGTTGTCAGATAGGTGTTAACTGGGTGAAGGGGAAGATAATAGACTACTAGAGGGGGATGGGGTAAAAGGCCCGGTAGAGGTCTGGGGTGGGCTAAGCCATTGTTGAATGCAAAGTCAATGATCCAGTGTGTAAATTTTAAACCCCCATGTAATTCACAAGAAAGAGTTTGAAAAAAAGAACGCATCACAGTCTTGTGAAATCGCTGAGGAAGACTTCTACTCCACCCGCACAAAGTCGCCAAGCATTAGAAGTGGCAGGAGGACATTGACCTCATCGGCAACAACAGGTTTTCTGTAGAGATGAGGACGCTTCATTTGCAAGGATTCCTGTCGGCTCACTCCTCCCTTGTTATTTTATGATTTTCTACCTTTATACAATCTCCTGTGGGATGATTAACAGTCTATGGTCGGTTGTCCCGCAGCATCAGAAAAGTCTGTGCCCCAATAATGGGTGGATCACAGGAGTTCAAGAAACCCTTGTTCCCTCCTGGTTGGAGAAGCAGCACCCCAATGGCTGGAGGAAAGAGCCCCCAGAGAGCAGAGAGTCAAGGGCCCCACTCTGGCTTACTGTGTCACTACACCAGCTGCTCCCCACCACGGAATTTCTGCGCCCTGGGTTGTAAGCTAGTCTGGGAGGAGGTTTGGATCGAATTGGAACCATGGTCCCCACCAGCTCTTCCAGCATGATTTGGAAAACACAATACTTAAGGCCGCCCCTTTCCGCCTTTGACCCCAATATTTGCCTGCTAAGGTATTGTGACTCCTGTGGTGTAGGGAAGACAGTGTTGCTTTAATCACAAGAAACACATTTAATAAAAAGTCACTTTCCCTGCCCCCCACTAAAATAACAATAAGGAGAAAGGATTTGCAAGGAGGGGCTGCGGCTTATCCTGTGAGGAGAGCTCCGCCTTTGAAGTCAAGTCTTGCAGCAGCCGCCACCCCGGGCTCGGTCTGTGTCCATGTTAGACGTACCTCTCGGAAAGGTTGAGCTTGCCTCCCTGTCTGACGACCGGCCTGAAAGAGAGGCGGGTGGCTGTCATTGTAGGAAGGAGCCCCTTCAGCTCCGTGTCTGTTCAAGACTGGCTCTGACCCCCTGCCCTGTAGAAAAGGCTGTGTCCCCCGAGGTACCAGCATGAGTGAGTGATCTGGGTAACTGCCGAAAGCCATCCCACCTCATCTTCAAGCAAGCTTAGGGGTCGGCACTGGACTCGAGAAGTGAGGGGACCTGCCCACGCTCACACACGTGGGAGGTGGCTGAGGAGAATCCCAACCCAGGGGGCCTGTTTTTGTCAAGTCCATGTGGAGGCAAGAGAATGGGACAGATGACCAAACTCCTCAGTTGGCCTGTTGACCAACCTTCCCCACCCTCACCCCCATCAGGGGCCTGGGAGCCGACATCTTCCCTGAGTAGGGAAGCTCAAACTTGCTGCCTAACACCCAAGTGGGTGCAGCTTTGTATGAGTGTGGTGTCTACCCCTGAAGCCCCCCACAACCTCTGGGTGGAGACAGAACTGCCCACAATCCTCACAGAGTGTATTCACTCAGGTGTGTGAATTCCTCAGAGGTATAGTAACGCGGGACAGCTGTGTGTTTCGTGGCAGGCTTTATCCTCAGTCAATGAACTCTTTCAAAAGGAGAATTTTCAGAAAGGGCAGAGAGATGATTCTCCTGGAAGATGTCCCGTCTGCACACCAAATCATGACCCTGGAGCCCCTTCTCTATTTTTAAGCGATTGTAGCACTGTGGCATGTGACCTTAACAGACAGGGAAGTCGCTCCATGTCTGCTCTGAGGAACAGTCAACGTGTCAGACACTGACCTTGGACCCTGCAGAGGATCACCCTAGTGTGAAATGCCCAGCGGCAGTAGGAAACCTGGTGGGTGACTCCTAGTCTCTCCCACCCTCTGCTGCCACCCCCACACTCCCTCTGACCCGTGCCAGTCCGAAAAGGAACAAGAGCTTTGGCCGGAAGTTGTAGTTGTGTTACTTGCTGGCGGTCAGGCTTGGACACGTCACCCAATATTCTAACCCTTGGTTTCCTCCTCTATACCATGGAGGGTGCTGTGCCAGCTTTGCGAACTTTAAATGTATATAGAACAAGGAACCAATTGTACTGTAGGCATCCAACACGCAGTCCATACAGTGCGGCCACCTTCAAGAGGGTTCCTAATTTGAGACTGGTGGTGGTGCAGCTGCAGAGACCCAGAGTGTGAGTGTGGCCCCTACAGGGCTGGCCTCTGAGGGGGAGCTGGGTGGACATTCCTGCAGGGCAGTCTCATGCCTCCCAGCAGAGAGGAGGCACTTCCCTTACACAGTGTTTCCAGAGGGATCCGGACCAGAATTGGGTGAGGTCTTCTTCTACTCTGGTCTGATAGCTGGTCAAGGCCCTGCATTTGCCCAGGCAAATTTGAACCTCAGGCCATTTTTTTTAATCTGGTGCTGGTGATAAAAGAGTAACCATCTCTCAGGGGCCCAGGGAGAAGGGGGTACAAGGTCTTGAACTGCCGGACTGACCAGACAACAGTACTTCGGCACGGGAGGAGCTCAGGTCAATTGGTCAAGGCCACAAGTCAAGCAAAGCGGAGGTGTAACAAAGCTACTCTGCTCTCCCCACCTGCCCTTCCAGGCCCCTTCATTGCCAACCTTCTGCATCTCCTCCAGGGACTCTGCTCACTCACTGTCCCACAGAAGCCCTGCAAGGGCCTCCCTCTGGGAAACGTTCTGCTTCCCTGGAAGACGGGCCGCCTGTGCAGGGCTCATAGAGACTCACCTCGGACACTTGCACACACGTCTTCGGTTCTCTGGGAAAGAAAATGGGGGATCAGATGACTTCCCTCACTCCCCTGAGGCCCCCAAAGAAGTTCTTTCCCTTCCTTCCCCCGCCCCCCCTTCCCTTCCCTGCTCCTTTGGGGATTCGAACTCTTTGAGAACCCAGGTGAGGGCTTTGTTCCCACCATCCCTCCAGGTGGGGGTCTGGGACACAAAAGGACTAGAGAGGGAGGAGGAGAGCCCCGCCCGAGCAAACACCAACTCAGTTGTCAGTTGTGTTACCGCTTTGCCCTAATCCCTGAGGGTGGGCGCTCCGCCTTCCTGGGAGCCTCGGGAAAGGAGAGTGGGAGCCAGTGGCCAGTGGCACCCAGCCTTCTTTGCCAAGAAACAGACCTTGGGGCCCAGCGGCGCGGAAGTGCATGAAACCTCAACCTCACCTCGTGGTACAGGTGGCCTGGAGCAGGTGGCCTGGAGCGCACAGGCTGGAAGAGCGACAACCCCACCCCCACCCTCTGTTCACCAAGACTTACTGCAGCTGCAGATGACGGTGACGATCAATGACAGGAGAAGGACCGCACAGGCCCCAGCCAGCGGCGCCCAGATGTAGAGGTCACAGGTCAAGTCCAGCCCAGTCTTGTTCACTGAGGGCAGCGAACACGCGGATGTTTAGGATGGGGCCTGCCCCCTTCCCTGTCCGCCCCTCCACGCACCTCCTGGCTCGGCTTTCCTGGCGGTTGGAGCAGGCTCGCCGCCACCCCAGCCCCCAGCCCCTTCACCTGCGCTGTCCGCCGGCGGTCGGCAAGCATCTGGGTGCGGGGACACGGGCTGCGACGCGTTGGTGGGGACTGGCGCAGGTGGCGGCGGCGGTGGTGGCGTAGGGGTGGGCTTCTCTGCGGGAGCAATGGAGCGTGGTTGGGGGTCAAGTTGGGTCGTTGGGTCTGTGCGCGTGTTCCACCCACACGCCGCCCGCCCGCAGTGACCTCGACTTTCTGGACAGGGACAGAGGCGGCCAGGGAGCTGTGGGCGGCAGCCACCGCCTCTGTTGTCCTCAACTCCTCCCATTGCTAATGATCCACCGGCCAACGCCCCCGGCCCCTCGGCCCCGCCCCCCCCCCCCCCCCCCCCCCCCCCCCCCCCCCCCCCCAGCCCTGCCAGCCTCGTTTTACCCAGCAGCCAACGGAGGGTCAGAGCATGGAGTCACCTGCCCAGGGCCACACCAAACCAAGAAAATAAACGCAGTGCTGCCCACCGATGCCCACGGTTAGCGACCCTATAGGACAGTTGTTTTTTTTTAATGGGAGAAAGCTCCGTCTTTCTCCTCCGAAGTAGCTGGTGGTTCCGAACTGCTGACTTTGCAGTCAGCAGTCAAGGTGGACCTACTACGCCACCCGGGCGCCTCAAGCACCCGAACTCGTGCCCCATTGGTCCTGAGAAGCCGGCTGCAGTCCCTAGTCAGCTGCCATGTACCCTCCGCCTCCTGGTCCACGAGACGGGAAGAGATCTAGGGAGGCCCCAGGGTGGGGGTGGGGAGGCATTAAGCATCTCCAAAAGCGTGCATCCCTGTGACCGCAGGCTGAGCTGGCTCCCGCACCCCCGCACGCACAGCGGCCCCGCACCTGGGAGGAAGACGGGCACGAAGGGGCTGAAGTACAGCTGGGAATTGCTGGTCACTAAGCAAAAGTAGTAGCCTTGGTCCTCCTCCCGGAAGGAGTGCAGCGTGAGCTTGAAGATGTCCTTCGAGGGCTTGCTGCCCACGAACTTCGAGCCGTCCAGCCCTTCGGCCAGCCTGGACTTCGAGGATGGGCTGATGTAGAGGAGGAAGGTGGGGCGGGCGGCTGGCGCCCGCTTCTGGAAGAGCCACGAGCTGCCCGACGCCGTGTTGGACAGCAGCACCTCGCACCGGAGCTCCACCGTCCGCCCCAGGCTCGCCTCCACTTTGTGCGGCGACATCCGGAACGACTTCTGTTCTGGGGGGCCCGCGGTGGCGTCTGCGGGAGGCGGGCAGCGAGCTGAGCCGGGAGCCCCACCGCCCCGCGCCCCCCGCTAGCTTAGCCCGCCCCGGGGGTCGCACGCTCACAGAGCAGAAGGGCCAGCGGCAGTAGCAGGACGGTCACGGTGGCGGCCATGGCGCAGGGCTCAAACCCAGGGGACGCGCCCGGGAGGAGCCGGCGGGGTGGAGACAGGAGGTCGTGCCTTCAGACCGGCCGCCCAATTTCGCCCACGGAGGATGTGATGTCACCTGGAGCCCCTGCTGAGAGCGTCACCCCCTTTTCTGCGGTTGTCTCCTTCCAGCCAGGTGAGGGGAGCTGGGGACCGAGCGAGGGGGCCTTGAAGCGGGCTTGCCCGGAGGAAAGTGGAGAGCGGCCTGGCCACTTCTCTGAACTTGAGCAGAGCAGGCCTGTAACATCAGTAACTTTCATGGGTGAGGGGCTGGGGAAGACGGGCTTTGTGTGGAGCTGACCATCCCCTGCTGACCCCCTTGGGGCCCCTCTCTTAGCTGCTATCCCTCCTAGAAACGCACAGCATCTTCCATCCCTGAGGATGTGGCAATAACCCCCATACCACGGTCTCTCTTGGGACCAGCCCTCCGGCCATCCTGCTGTGAAACGTCTTCTCCTAAAGGGCATCCAGCCCTGATGGTGTAGTGGGTTACACATCAGGCTGCTAACTGCTATCAGCCTCTTGGTGAAGAAAGATGAGGCGTTCTACTCCCTGGAAACTCACAGGGGCAGTTCTTCTCTGTCCTATAGGGTCACGATGAGTCGGAATTGACTCCATGGGAGTGAGTTTTGGTTTTTGAAGGGCATCCGATAATGCCACTCTGATGGAAGCTCAACGTGGTTGACTTGGTTGCTCTCAGTCTCATGCCACCACTATCGCTGCTGCTGGTGCTGCTGCCACCTCCCAGGGTTCCCGGTCTCTAACCTCTGGGTTCCTCTGTGCTTTCCAGCCTTTGCACTTCCTGTCCCCTCCCCCATGCCTGGAGTGTCCTCCACCGAAGCCCTGGCACCTGCTGTCTGATTAGCTGCTGTGTCTGGATCTCCAGAGCCGGATGCTCAGCAGGACCACGTCTGTGGCCTGGAGGATGGCTTGTGTGGAGGCAGGTTTCTTTCTGACCTTGGCACACACACCTTGGCCCCTTCCTGTTTGCCAGTTGCTGCCCTAGAAACTCTGGGCCGAGCATCCTGGCCTCACATTCTTCCCCTTTGTGAATCCCATGATTGGTGTGGCTGGTGCTGGGTTATAGAGCCAGGCCACCCTGCCATGACTGGACCACGTGCCTGACCCACTTGTGAGTTCTACCTGGTGAGGACCGTTTTCCAGACTTTATGGTCTGTCTTCTGTCCCCGGGATGGGGATGCCACATCAAAGCATGGGGATGAGCCGAGGTTGATGGTTCAACTCACCTCACAGGATCCAAGCTCAAATATTTGAAGGGTGTTTTTATTTCTTTGAGAATCACATCCCTCTCTCTGAAAGTATTCTGGGAACTTACCCTAACATGGAATATTTAGGAATGATTTTTAAAAGTGTTTTTCTCAATCACAAGAGTGATATAGTCTCAAAATACCAATACAAAAATGAATGCAGGCTAAGTCCTGTATCTCACTCCCCTTATGTACACTTTGTGGCAAAAAACACTGTGACGGTTGAATTGAATGAGTCCCTCAGACATTATCTGCACACAAACGGATGCTTATGCATCATTGCCTAGAGACGGAATTGAACTCTGTACATGTTGTTGCACAACTTACCTTTCTAACTTTACAGTAGAAGGAAGTTGGTGGTTGTTGTTGGCATATGTAAACCTCTATTTTTTAAAATGTTATTTGTTTTGTTTTTAAAATATAAACCTATATTAAAAGGAACCCTGGTGGTGTCGTGGTGACTGCAGAGTCAGCAGTTTGACCCCACCAGCGACTCCACGGGGGCAGATGAAGTGTGCTGTTCCCATGGGGATTCACTGCTTTGGAAACCCACAAGGAAAGCTCTGCTCTGTCTTACAAGGCTCTGTGAGTTGGAGTTGACTTGATGGCAGTGAAATATATTTGTATACATATAATATAGTTAATATTATACATTAAATCCCCTCATGATATATGTACATATATACATATGTATCACCAGGGGATATTTTTTTTAATTTGTGGAGAAATGGAATTAAAAGATAAAAATAAAAGATGTAAAAAAAAAAAAAAAAAAGATGTAAACTTTATTTTTCAACAGAAAAGATCAAGAAACGTTGATAAGCAGCGATGCTAGTCGTTTAGTCCAGCCCTGGGAATTTAGCTATGTCAATGTAGTCTTTTTACATTTCCAACTAAAGAAAAAATAATTTTAACATTAGAAACAGAAAGAAATCAGAAGGAACCAAACCAGGATGGGTAGGGGGATGTCCGGTGACCTTCCATAGAAATTCTCACAAAGTGCCCTTGTTTGATGAGAATAAGCAGGAGTGTTGTCATAGTAGAGAAGGACTCTGGTGATGTTTTCCCAGGTATTTTTCTACATAAACTTTTACCAACTTTCTCAAAATACTTCATAATAAGCAGATGTTATTATCCTATGGCCCTCCAGAAAGCTACCAAGCAAAATACCTTGAGCAACTCTAAAATACTATAGCCATTCATGACCTTTGCACTTGACTGGTCTGGTGTAGGTTTGACTGGATCACTGTCTCTTGGTAGCCATTGTTTGACAGTACTTTGTCCTCGGACTCATTCTGGTATATCCATGCTTCATCTCCTGCTACAGATTTTTCAGTAAATGCTTCAGGACATGAATCCCACTTGTTTGAAAAGCTCTGCTCTTGTCTGCAGTTTGGGCATCTATCTAGAAGAGAGTTTGCTTAACTTTAATTTTTCAGTCAGAATTTTGTAAGCTGAATCAGTCAATATGCCTTTGGTGTTGGCTATTGTTTCTGCTGCTAATCTCATGTCCTTTTCAATTTGGGTACAAACGAGATCCCCCCCTGTAAATTGACATGGATGGTCTAATGCTACAGGCTTCATCTTTAATGCTATGGTGACCGTTTGGGGATTCCAAAAGGGTAATCCTGATAGATTTTTCTCAAGGACACAGGATCATCATGGGAACCAAGTATGAAGAACTTTTAAGAAAATTGACAACTGCACTGGTGAGAAACAGGACTGCATTGATGAAAAAAAGTCCAGGTAGTTGTGCCAGGGAATTTTTTCCCCATCATGACCATGCACTTCTTTGAAGTTAGCAAAGTTTATCCTATGAACATTTCCAAGCCATACCCCATCTACCCTCCAGCCCTGATCTTGCCTCCTGACTTCTTTTTGAAGAAGTCCCTCAGACTTCCTCTGTGCTCAAAGAACACAGAAAAGGAACATGATTCGGGCTCCTTGAGAAACTGTGGTTTGGGGAGAGTGTAAAGCGAAGACCCAGCATTCTTTGGGCAAAGGGCTAGAGAAATGGAACTATGGCTTCCACACTGAGATGCAAGAGACTCTGAAATGCAATAGCTTTATACTTTGATAGTTTTGTTTAATAATTATATATATATATATATAGTGGTTGTGATTGGTGGCTATTAACAGATCTGAGAGGCTGCAAAATCTACAAGCTCTTCATCAAATTGCCCAAAGGACAGACCGTAAATAGTGCTTCACACAGACAGTTTGAAAATAATATTTCAGAGAGACAGAAGCTATTTCAGGAGGACAGTGGGACTCTAGTGCCTCTAAAGGGCGGGGCAGCTGTACAGAGAGCCCCATGGTCCGTACACTTGGTGGAACCGCGTATGCCATATAGCAGCTGACTATGGCTTCATTTCCCAAGAAGCAGGATTGACTCAGTTTATCCTTCCAGCAGGTGGTTCCGTTCCGTGCTCTATGGGCCAGTACAGAAACAACAGTTCTTCTTTGGGGATCAATATTTATTGACTTGTACTAACTGTCACCAATAAAGGAGTCTTTACCATGAAAAAGAAAAAGGATATCTATAAATAAAAACGATCTCCTGATTACAGTCTCAACAACAAAAATAAACAAAATTGAATTTAATTAATTTTGTTGCCCTGTTCAGGATATACATTAGCCAAACACACCAAGCCCACAGCTGGAACATGTACAGTTCTACAGGTTAGGGATACTGATTACATTTTTCGAGTTGAGCAACCATTTTCACCTTCCTTTTCCGAATGGTTACACCCCCACCAACATAAACTCCCTGCCCTCTATGGGCCCTATCTCGAGAATCTGTCAAGTTGCTGTGGTTGATTTGATCCCATTTTGCTATGTCTTGAAAGAGCACAATGCTCAAGGCAGATATGCCTTACTGATGAAGCAAACTTATTATTTGGCTTTAAGATGACTTCAGGGTATACTTTTGGTCCAAGATATAGAGATGATCTCGGGGCAATAGTTTTAGGGGGTCCATCCAGCCTCCATGGCTCCAGAACGTTTGGATTCCATGAGCTTTGCATTTTGTTCTGTATTTCTCCCTTTTGATCAGGATCCTTCTGTAGACTCTTCGATCAAAATCTTCAGTAGTGACAGCCAGGCACCAGCTAGGTCTTCTGGTCTCCTGCAAATGAGGCAGTTGTTCATGGAGGCAACACATTTTATACCCTCCTCTTAGTCGTTATGTCTCCATCTCCCTCTGTCCCTCCATCATGGACGGCCACTGATGCCCATTCTTTAAGTGGGCACATTAAGTGGGTGTTGTATAATTGAAATGTTCTATTAACAAACATTTAAAGATCTTTTTAAAATTTCCCCAATTCTCAGGGTGGCAGCAGTTGATGTAATGTATTTGTCTTAGGGAGACCATGTGCTACTTAGTACATGTAGTATGTTCAAGTGGGAGATGAGGTCGTTTAGGGAAGGAAAAACCTTTTCGATGATGGTTACATCTCCTTGGCATCACAGAAGGGTATGTATGGGGGCAGTTCATTAGTTCACAGAAATGAGGGGAACAAGGAAGCAGTTAAATCCAGACAGGCCACTGAGCAGCAATCCTCATTTTTAGGGAGCAGTGTCTCCTTTTACTTTGTCCCTGCCCCCATTGCAGGAGGAAGGACAAATAAGCTTGCTGGCCAAAGGCTGCAAGCAGGAAGATGCTGTAGAGCAACAAAAGCATATCCCTGCTTCCGTGG